ATAACTAAATCTGCCTATGCTTATAGAGTGAAATGTAGCATTTTACACACAGTATTACTGGTGTAGGTGTATCAGACTAATTTAGGGACCATTTGTGTATTTAGAGAGAAGAAACAGGGGGGTATAATCCAGGCAAGGGGGTAAAAACGGACCTGCCCAAATAATACCCCCCCAATAACTAAATCTGCCTATGCTAATAGAGTGAAATGTAGCATTTTACACACAGTATTGCTGGTGTAGGTGTATCAGACTAATTTAGGAACCATTTGTGTATTTTTAGAGAGAAGAAATAGGGGGGTATAATCCAGGCAGGGGGGTAAAAACGGACCTGCCCAAATAATACCCCCCCCTAATAACTAAATCTGCCTATGCTAAAAGAGTGAAATGTAGCATTTTACACACAGTATTGCTGGTGTAGGTGTATCAGACTCATTTTAGGGACCATTTGTGTATTTAGAGAGAAGAAATAGGGGGGTATAATCCAGGCAGGGGGGTAAAAACGGACCTGCCCAAATAATACCCCCCTAATAACTCAATCTGCCTATGCTAAAAGAGTGAAATGTAGCATTTTACACACAGTATTGCTGGTGTAGGTGTATCAGACCCATTTTAGGGACCATTTGTGTATTTAGAGAGAAGAAATAGGGGGGTATAATCCAGGCAGGGGGGTAAAAACGGACCTGTCCAAATAATACCCCCCCTAATAACTAAATCTGCCTATGCTTATAGAGTGAAATGTAGCATTTTACACACAGTATTGCTGGTGTAGGTGTATCAGACTCATTTTAGGGACCATTTGTGTATTTAGAGAGAAGAAATAGGGGGGTATAATCCAGGCAGGGGGGTAAAAACGGACCTGACCAAATAATACCCCCCTAATAACTAAATCTGCCTATGCTAAAAGAGTGAAATGTAGCATTTTACACACAGTATTGCTGGTGTAGGTGTATCAGACCCATTTTAGGGACCATTTGTGTATTTAGAGAGAAGAAAAAGGGGGGTATAATCCAGGCAGGGGGGTAAAAACGGACCTGCCCAAATAATACCCCCCCTAATAACTAAATCTGCCTATGCTAATATAGTGAAATGTAGCATTTTACACACAGTATTGCTGGTGTAGGTGTATCAGACTCATTTTAGGAACCATTTGTGTATTTAGAGAGAAGAAATAGGGGGGTATAATCCAGGCAGGGGGGTAAAAACGGACCTGACCAAATAATACCCCCCCTAATAACTAAATCTGCCTATGCTAAAAGAGTGAAATGTAGCATTTTACACACAGTATTGCTGGTGTAGGTGTATCAGACCCATTTTAGGGACCATTTGTGTATTTAGAGAGAAGAAATAGGGGGGTATAATCCAGGCAGGGGGGTAAAAACGGGCCTGGACAAATAATACCCCCTAAATCTAACGCAACATTAGTGTTTTCAGAACACTATAGGCACAGCCGCACAGGAACAGTTTCTTCATGCCATTTTCCTTTTGAACAGTTAAATCCCTACCAAGGCATATGCCTGTAAGTGTAATACTCCCAGTCTCCCACTGTTTAGTGCAATCTTTCTTAACACAGTTGATATCTATTAATATTATTCATAATACTGTAAATATGTTCATAATCTGTAAATGTTCATTATGACTAAACCTATCGTGTCTTTATACTTTTATATTTTATTCTTATCATTGTATTACTATGTTTCTTGTTGTATCTGTTAGTGCACTGGAAGCTTCAGTACCAAGACAAGTGTGTGCAAAAGCAAAATTGGCAATGCAGCTCATTCTGATTTATGCAATATATATATATTTTTTTATATAAATTTATTGGAATATCATAAACATGTCGGTGTAAGTGACAATATGAGCCAATACATATGCCCGCTGGGTTTGCAGCTAAGCAGAAAAGAAAATAAAAGAAAAGAAAAGAAAAGAAAAGAAAAGAAAAGAAAAGAAAAGAAAAGAAGAAAAACTGGAACAAAGACGCCATCGACGCGTTATCAAAAGAGATTTGCAACGGACATGCCAGTCTCCTTTACGATTAAGGTTGAAAAGCAATTCATTACGTTTCTGAGTTTATACTGCCATCTACAGGAAAATCCATAGATTTTCTTCAATTTGAACGTTTGGAGTAGGGATCAGTGAAGCATGTGACCGTACGTTTCGTGTTTTAACTGCCATCTACCGGAAACACAGCGGTACTGTCCGCGTGCACGCGAAGGGGGGTAGTCTCCAGCCGGGGGGTCGGAATTAGGCACAACACCTGATTTCTATAGAACCTTCCAGGAGAAAACCCGCCTAAAACACACGTAAACAGGCCTTAATATGTAGGGAAAAAAACACCCAATCTGGCAACACAAGCCACCATGTACCGCGGCCGCCGCATGCGTCATCAAAACAAAAAGCAGCATGCAGTCGACAAAGCATCGAGGAGGCGTCGTATGATCATTTAAACGAGTTTTATGACAAGGTCGGTGAGGATGAGAAAAAATCTTACATTTCTGTGCAAACTTTGCCCGCCGTTAAAATAATTGTTGTCTGTGGTTGTATAACTTATGGGCTGTGTCAATAATAAAAAATAGATGAACTAGTTCATTTTAAAATTTGTGAACTGCACTTTGAACTAGTTCATGTAAGTGAACTTTCCCAACACTGGCTATATAATATGCAACTTTGTGGCCATTTTTGTTTGAGAACTAATAATCCTCAGAGATGCTCGTAGGCTTATCTGTTCGGTAACTTTTGGTCAAAAGCGTGAACTCGTAGCTAACCCCCGGCAACATAATTAACACATGTAAACGCCAAACGCTGTGGATCAAAAGCGCAATGAACTCCGGCTAAACACGTTTCTCTTAACACCTGCGGACATCCGCACAGCTTGACAATGTCACACAACGTGACAACACGTCGTAAAACTTACCAGACATACGGGAGCCTGTCAGCTACTGTAAATCAGAAACACTGTTTACTTGATACAGACATACAGGAGCCTGTCAGCTGCCACCGTAAATCACAAACACAGTCGTGACTGACACATGTCAGTCATGGGGTGACAGGCACACAGTCCTGTACCAACATATGGCCATAAATCACATCATAAATCATAAAAAGTGACACAACGTTTATGATAACACTACTAACAGTGTGAACTTGGCAAAATGAACATCTTATGTCAATATTACTTTTATATTTAATCATAAAATATTTAACAGGGTAAAATGTATTTATTATTTTGTAGGACACTTCTTTTACTTCATTAGTTAGAAAATATTTTTTTTATAATTACACAATATACAAATATTACAATATAAAGTAAACCCTTTATACCCCTTCCATATTTAGAAACAAAACAAAAGGGGCACATTATGTACTTTCCTTTGCTGCTGTTTGACAGTCAACCTTTATTTTCATGCAAGGGTGTAGGTTTGGTTTTGAGATTGGTGGGGACTTTCCCAGAAGCTGAGAAATCAGGAAATGAATAGGATTAATAGTATAATATTACGATTTTTAGTCTATATTGACCTTAAAGGAGAACTCCGGCGCAAAATGAACCTTTGGTCTAATTACACATTGTTACCTAGTCAACCGTTATCTGAGATTTGTTTTCATGATTATCGAATGTAAATAGTTTTATCTCTAAAAACAGTTTAGCCTATAAAGCTAGTATAACGGTAGTATATTGGGCATAGATCAATGACAAATAAAAATCGCTTGTTAATACCACTAACAAGGCTGAAAATAGCCCCACACTAACACGGTAGCATAATGAGGGTCCCTACCTTCAAACCGAAGCATTGAGAACTTTGTAAGTGTCCAGACAGTTTAATAAGAAGATATTTTAAACATACAGTCAACTTCGTGTATACAGGCAGAATCCAACTTTGAAATACAGCCTTTACCAGTCGATCTACGAACGCCGATCCAAGCCTGCTGTTCGCGCTCACCTTATCATTCTCACCAGCGCACTTGGATCGGCGTTCGTAGATCGACTGGTAAAGGCTGTATTTCAAAGATGGATTCTGCCTGTATACACGAAGTTGACTGTATGTTTAAAATATCTTCTTATTAAACTGTCTGGACACTTACAAAGTTCTCAATGCTTCGGTTTGAAGGTAGGGACCCTCATTATGCTACCGTGTTAGTGTGGGTCTATTTTCAGCCTTGTTAGTGGTATTAACAAGCGATTTTTATTTGTCATCACACTATGCCCTATATACTAGCGTTATAAAAAGCTTTATAGGCTAAACTGTTTTTAGAGATAAAACTATTTACATTCGATAATCATGAAAACAAATCTCAGATAACGGTTGACTAGGTAACAATGTGTAATTAGACCAAAGGTTCATTTTGCGCCGGAGTTCTCCTTTAACAATACGTTAATGAATTCTATAATGTTATGGTAACTATTAAAGGGATACTCCATCCAAAAATGAAAATTCTGTCATCATTTACTCACCCTCAAGTTGTTTAAAACCTGCATGAGTTTCTTTCTTCTGATGAACACAAATGAAGATATTTTGAAGAATGATTGGAACCAAACAGTTGTTTGGCACCATTGACTTCCATAGTAGAAAAAAAAAAATACTATGGAAGTCAATGGTGCCAAAGTTCAAATTGTTCTTCAAAATATCTTCCTTTGTGCCACACTATGTGTCGATTACAAGTGACGTCACTTGCAGAGGAAGCGCTGGTGTCTGAGTGCAAGTGCAAGTCTGCACAAGTCTGTGCAAAATTTAAGATTTTGAAATGAAAGTGCCCCTGGACCCCCCTAGAGGTCTACCCTCAAAAATACAGTGGGAAACACTGTAGGGTATATGATCTATGAAAAATAAACATTTAATTATCTTATTATTAATACATTATCCGGGTTTTACGACCTCGTTTTGAGCCAGGAAAACCCCTGAAATCCCTGCAAAAAAACCTGCAAAACCCCCTGCTTGTAGTCCCAGCCCAACCCAACACTTCATCACTATTTAAACATTCAGCTAGGCTCATCATCCATAACTCAATCAAGCTCAGCCAGGACCGTGGAGTTGTAATTGATGATCAATTGAACTTCACAGACCACATTGCTAGAACTTTTCACATTCGGTTTTCATTGGCATGTGTCAAATTTGTGACCCGTGACAGTGGATAGACTTTTAAAATTTTGTCTAGTTTGCTAAACAAGGTAATTGGTTTTAAAATGCCTTTGCTGGGGAAGATAGTTGTGATCGAAAGACATGGAGAAGATGGCACTGCATTTCCATTCACAGCGCCCTGTCTGTTCGGAAGGTCAGTAACACATTTTATAATTACGGCTTACATTGCTGTATAGGGCCATATTATTTTTATATATTATATTATTATTATTATATATATGGGCAAGTGGGCAACTATAATGCTGTTAATGTACAGTGAGGAACGAGAAAAACAGAAGCAATGGATAAATGTTGGGGGGAAATTGCCTTTATAAAGGTAAAAAAAAGCTATGAGAATCAATCTAAGAGGGCATATACAAATATGCTGATTTAAGTCTGCTACAGAGAACGTTCGTCAAAAAATCAGATTCAAGCATTCAACATCTCTTAGTATAATTAATTTTATTATATTTACAGTTATGTTTTGTAAAATATTCACTTATCTAAGTTTTGTTCTGTTATCTGTATGTAATAGTGGTTTATGAAAGTGGACAAGAGTGAATGGTGACAAATTAAACTAAATAGTTTAAATACGCATGTTTAATGTAAAATTCAAAAAAGGAAATCTTGAACAACAAATTAATAATGTACTTGATTGTGCGGTGCATATATCTTTCGTCTACTGTAACTGTAATTATTTGAAATGTTCTAGACATCAATGAACAAAAACAAAATGTTACCTGCAAAAAGGCACTAATGCAAGAAGCAATTGATAGAATTATATTTTAATCTATTTGAATAATTTATGGTGAAACAATAAATACATGGGAGATGCATCTTTGAAAATCAACTTACACCACATTAAAAACAATGCATAGAAATTATATTCTAATCAAAAAGTTTAAATACTGTTGATTTTGCCATGAATATCCATTCCTGCTGATATGGCATTAAATAAATAAATACACCACATACATCATAGTTTAATATTTCTCATTCACCAAATGGGCCATATACACTCACCGGCCACTTTATTAGGTACCCCATGCTAGTAACGGGTTGGACCCCCTTTTGCCTTCAGAACTGCCTCAATTCTTCGTGGCATAGATTCAACAAGGTGCTGGAAGCATTCCTCAGGGAGTTTGGTCCATATTGACATGATGGCATCACACAGTTGCCGCAGATTTGTCGGCTGCACATCCATGATGCGAATCTCCCGTTCCACCACATCCCAAAGATGCTCTATTGGATTGAGATCTGGTGACTGTGGAGGCCATTTTAGTACAGTGAACTCATTGTCATGTTCAAGAAAACCAATTTGAAATGATTCGAGCTTTGTGCCATGGTGCATTATCCTGCTGGAAGTAGCCATCAGAGGATGGGTACATGGTGGCCATAAAGGGATGGACATGGTCAGAAACAATGCTCAGGTAGGCCGTGGCATTTAAACGATGCCCAATTGGCACTAAGGGGCCTAAAGTGTGCCAAGAAAACATCCCCCACACCATTACACCACCACCACCAGCCTGCACAGTGGTAACAAGGCATGATGGATCCATGTTCTCATTCTGTTTACGCCAAATTCTGACTCTACCATCTGAATGTCTCAACAGAAATCGAGACTCATCAGACCAGGCAACATTTTTCCAGTCTTCAACTGTCCAATTTTGGTGAGCTCTTGCAAATTGTAGCCTCTTTTTCCTATTTGTAGTGGAGATGAGTGGTACCCGGTGGGGTCTTTTGCTGTTGTAGCCCATCTGCCTCAAAGTTCGACGTACTGTGCGTTCAGAGATGCTCTTCTGCCCACCTTGGTTGTAACGGGTGGTTATTTGAGTCACTGTTGCCCTTCTATCAGCTCGAACCAGTCTGGCCATTCTCCTCTGACCTCTGGCATCAACAAGGCATTTCCGCCCACAGAACTGCCGCTCACTGGATGTTTTTTTCTTTTTCGGACCATTCTCTGTAAACCCTAGAGATGGTTGTGCGTGAAAATCCCAGTAGATTAGCAGTTTCTGAAATACTCAGACCAGCCCTTCTGGCACCAACAATCATGCCACGTTCAAAGTCACTGAAATCACCTTTCTTCCCCATACTGATGCTCGGTTTGAACTGCAGGAGATTGTCTTGACCATGTCTACATGCCTAAATGCACTGAGTTGCCGCCATGTGATTGGCTGCTTAGAAATTAAGTGTTAACGAGCAGTTGGACAGGTGTACCTAATAAAGTGGCCGGTGAGTGTATGTGAATGGGCAAAGAAGCAGTTTTATTGTGGACTCTACCTTTTTAGGAAGCTGGACTGTGATATTCGTATTCAGCTGCCGCAGGTGTCAGATGAGCACTGTAAAATAGAGCTGAATGAGAACAACGAGGTAATTATGTTGTGGTATAACACTATAAGTTTGACTTCATCTTTTGTTTCCTTTAACTGTTTCTTTGCATATAAGAACACATGACATGATGTTAATTTATTGTCTCTCTCTTGTTTGAGCTCATTTTGACCAATTTAAGCTCTGTGAACCCCACACGTATTAATGGACAAGTTCTCAATCAATCTGAACGGTTAAAGCATGGTGATCTCATCACAATTATTGATCGTTCTTACAGGTGATTCTGATTTTCATTATAATTAGGGAAAAAAATTAGAGTTTTCTTTCTTGGAGAATCCTTGTTCGGAGAATAATTAGTTTTGTGTGGTTTCATCTTGTGATTGTTAGGTTTGAGTACCCACCACCCACGACACTGACAGCTGGAAAAGACAAAACAGTTCAGGTGTGTAGTTGATGTGAGTCTTGTGAAACATATGATGGGATTTTTTGTTAATTTATCATTTATTTATTTTGTTAAATTTTGTTTCTGTCATCGTATAGGCTTTGCAAGACCAGCAGGAAAAAAGCACACCCGTTCATGCAGAGAAGAGGAAGTCAGAGCATTCGTTTGGTTAGTGATCATGAAATTTATTTTCTGTAATATTCTATACATTTATTTTTTGCAACATGTTTACTTTGTTTTTTTCTAGTTTTGCTAATTCTGCTAGAATATAATTTCATATCCGTGATTGTCATGTGTGCTATACTTGCAGACACTTGTTTAAAAGATGTGTCAAATTTACTGCCATCTGTGGATCAATCTGTTGAGAATGATCCTTTTTTTAAACTCTACCAAATGTGCTCTACCAAAAAAACGGACATTGTTGCTAAATCACCATGGAAATCTGAGCTACCAAAAAAACCTCTTGGAAGACCTCAGGTTGATCATGAGGAAGCTCCCGCTGCAGATGTTAAAAGTAGCCCTGAACCAGTCACAACTCCAGAACTGGATTTCGAGGTTCTTTTATCCTGGTTAGATGAAAGTTTTACTGGACTAACTATCCCTCAGAGCTCATTTCATGCAAGTCAGGAAGAGAAACCTGCCGATGATATGCCGTCTGTAGGGTCCATCACCCCCTCATTGACAGAGAAAGGTGTAACTCCCGTCTCCCAGAAGAAGAGAACACCCTTGAAAACGCCTCAGAAGTTCAGTGCTGATGAGGTTGTCCAGCAAATTCTCTTAGAGCCTCAGTCTGAGGAGAAAACTCCCAAATCCCCGGAAGGAAGGAGAAGTGTTGGATCACAGGATCAGAGCCTTGATCTCAAAATGCCTTTGGGCCAGCCTCAGACTCCAGGCCCAATAGGCAAGAACACTGAAGTGAAAATGTCACGAATAACATCTATAAGACCAAATGCTAGCAGGTCTGAAGTCCAAGGTGGTCCATATGAAATTAAGAGGATCAGAGGTGAGACAGAGTCTTTCTTCTGTTTTTCTCCAACAATTCACCTTTCTTACAACAATTCACCTCTGTCTATTAAACATTTGACAAAATCACAACGGAACATTCAAATCTGTGTTTGCGTTGCTGCTGAGAAAGCAGTTATGTGTAGGTATGAAACAGCTTCACTTAAAGTATTTTCAACCACACAGTATCGTTGTTTCTGTGTTCCAAATTATAAAATGATCACAGAAGTACTGGGATAAAAGTTTATAGTTCGGATATACACACTGATGTCTACGGTAGCGATCTTAAGAGCAATTCACCTTTTGTAAAAAAAACGTGTTGCTCCAAACAACGATTGTATCGATTACATTGTTCTGCCACTAGTTGGCGACAAGTGACTGTTTATAACATGAGCTTTGTCCCAATTCGGAGGCTGCGTCCTCCGGAGAGGCATTTAAAGTGTGATTGCGTCACATCGGCACGACGAAGGCTGTCCCAATTCAAAGGCTGCACCCTTCGAAGGCCGATTGCGTCACCGCGGAGTGACAAAGGCTACCCCGATTATAATGCGACTTCAAATGCGCCCTTTGTTTCTCGGGCAATGAAGGATACAACTGATGGACCCTTCGCTTGCAAAACTTGTTGTAAAATTTTCTTTTGTTTTAGGGCTCCAGGTGCGGACAGCTGAATTTATTAAAATGAGGGCTGACAACAACTATTTATTTACTGGGGACAAAAACTCAGCCAGTGTGGCTTGGGGGTAAGGCCTATTTCCACTAGGCTCTCTTGTGTATTATAGTAAATAGTCCTCACCCTATTCAAAGCCCACAACAATAAGACAACCAGTAGGTAAGGCAATAGTCTTTCACTTTGTTGTTTTTGGTAGTGCTGTCATGCAAGGTATGTTTACAAATGTTTTAACCAAACCTGAGGACTTTTGTATGCATGTCCTGCTGTGTCATATTTTGTAATGTTAAGATTGCACTTATGTCAAGATTGCGCCCGTCTTAATGTTTTTCATAAGTTTTTCCTTTTTCTCTTGTTTTAGGGAAGTTCTAAAGAATATGGGCCTGCTGGGGAAGGCCACTCCCACAGAGGCCGGAAGAAAATGGAAGTACTTAAAAAAAAAAATACAAAGTAAGTAAGTTAATTGGCCCGTCTTTGCTGAAATGTATTGTGCTGTTGTTGTTTTTGTTAACAGGCATGGTTTATTTGCTCTGCCGTAGAATTGCAAGTGTAAGGGAGAGAGTGCTAAAACTTGGGTGTGGTTTGCCCACATGGATAAGGTGTTGGGACAGAGGCATTCCACCAACCCCCGTTTCCAACTTGCCTCCTCCCCTGAGGACACACCAGGCTCAAGTTCAGCAGGGGATGACGAAGAGGAGGTATGAACTGGTCGAGGTACTTGGGAAGACATCAATTTTCAACGAGAGGAAGAGGAGAGGTAGAGGAGAGGTAGAGGAGAGGTAGAGGAGAGGAGAGGAGAGGAGAGGTAGAGGAGAGGTAGAGGAGAGGTAGAGGAGAGGTAGAGGAGAGGGAGAGGAGAGGAGAGGAGAGGAGAGGAGAGGAGAGGAGAGGAGAGGAGAGGAGAGGAGAGGAGAGGAGAGGAGAGGAGAAAATATTAGTGCACACTGCTCAGGCCGCAGAAACTATTTTTCAGCGTTGAATAAAGTTAAGCTTCTTTTTTAACTATTTATTTATGCTCGATAGTTTCTACATAGTATCATGTGATATGATTTAATTACAGCCACCGATTTGACAGTGACATCGTTATAGGATACGCTTCGAGCAATGAGCCAACAGCCATTGAGTTTGTTTGTTTGTTTGTTTTAATTATATAGGCGGCTACTTCTGTTTTGCTTTGATGGTCTATAAAATAGTTTCGTTTGATAACTTGTATTTCTGTGGTATAGCAGAATAAAGTTTCAGTGGTGATTATTTTGTCATTCCCTATTGCTTTCTCATTTTGTAACCTGCCATCAGAGGTGATATATGTCCATCCTCAACTTACTGGAGCCATACATCACAGACAGGGACACCTCTAGCAATTTTAGACAGAACACTTCTTGTGATGAGGATGTCAGTCTAGTGGCTCTCCTTGAGTCTATGGTAACACCAGTGGAGTAACACCGTCAAATCATTTTTGATAAACGCACAAACAAATTTTACGTAGCGCTTGCAAAAACCGACGTAAGGCTGTATCTCTGCAACACTTTATCGTATTCAGATGAAACTTGGTACATGTCATCACCATAGACTGTAAAAAAAGATGGACGACGCCCTTTTGCTCTTTTCCATCGGAGAGAACTGAAGCCGCCAGTGTCCCGATATGGCGCTGACATCTTGGGACTTGAGTCTGCGCAGTAGCGTTTTCGGGACCAGACATGCGCAGTCGTGAGCAGGAAGTAAAGCCGCGAAATCAAGGCCCCGCCCTCACTCTCGCTGAATCAATCGCAAGCACACGCCCCTGCACTTTTCTTAAGTGGCCTCTGTCTGCTCCGTTCCTCTCCAATGATGTCTGCTGATTGCAGTACCTCGTTAAAATAAGGTAAATACAACTACTACCCACATAGTCAACATTATGAAAAAAAGTCCGTTGGTGCTTCAGTGACTACTTCACACAGAGAACCTGTCAATCACAGCTGTCAATCATGATGTCACAGCACCGTTTTTATAGCATCAAATAACTAACTAAAAACAAACTTATTTTAAAAACAAACACTTGAAATTACATCAACGTGATAGAAACTACAGTAAATGACAGAAACTATCGTTGGAAAAAGGATATGTGAAGTGTAATTTAATTGTTTAGTTGGTCTCACGTCCGTTGAATAACATGGGGAGGCGGGGTTTATGACCTTTACTAGGACCGGCCACCGGGGGGGCGATCGAGACGTTTTGGCTTCACTTTTTTTAGGGCTTGTGCGGCACGCTTGGTCATCACAAGCATGACCTGAGGCTACATGCTGCGTTTCGGAGCAACGCCACCTACTGGTCCGGAGATACGAAAAATTGCTATTTTTGCTTATAACTTCTGAACGGTTTGTCAAAAAATCCTAAAAGTGGTCTCGTTAGATTCAGGGCGTCATGCCGAGTCGACAGATACATTTTCCATATTGACCATTTTAGGCTTTGGCCATTTTGAATTTTGTACCAAAATGCTGTATTTTTATCAACGCATGAACGTATCGTTATGAAACTCGGTATGGGTCATCAGTACGATGCCCTGAAGGAGCCTGAGAAGTTTCAAACCAGCGCCACCTAGTGGTAAAATTAAAATTTCAAATGCATATAACTCTAGGTGTGGTTGACTGATTTTCACGGGAGTCATCTCCTTGGGTTCCTGAATCTTTGCCGAGTCCAACGATACCACCCAAGCTACATTCGCCTTACGGTTTGTGTAGCGTTGTGATTTAGCGCTTAAAAAACATTTGCCAATATCTTCGAAACTGTTAGACCGATCGAGACGAAACCACTGTCAGACGTTTGGAAAAATAGGTTGTTGGCTACATGCTAATGCCCAAATGTCAATAATATTAATAGTAAGTGGCATAAAAATGCAATCAAAGTCAGGTGTGGGTCATTTTTCATGTGTTTAAACATATAAATGTCTATAACTCCAAAACGAAATGGGATATTTTCACCAAATTTGACACACACATGTATGGGCTCACTCTGAGGACACTATTGTGATTAAAATGCTATACTTAACAAATGCATTGGTGTAACATTACGAAACTCAGTATGTGCCATCAGCACCATGCCCTGAAGGTACTCAAAAGATTTTGAGACAGCGCCACCTTTTGGTTAAAAGTTATAATTAAATTTCCAAAAATCCTAATAACTTTTAAATAAATTAGTCTGTTGCAATGAAACTGGTCTTAATAGATCTCTTGGGTCACGCCGAGAACATAAGTACCAATTTTGCCATAGTCAGCCAAACTGCCAGACGAAACTGTTTTTGTATACTGCAGTATCAAAGTTGAGGCATGCTGCCAAAATGACCATTCAGGCTTTATATCTGCAATGCTTTGACATTTTGACACCAAACTTTTGTCATTGTCACCTCACTCTTACCACAACACATCAATTTCGTAACTGGGCCACCTATTGGTCGAAAGTGGTAATTCATTAAATCATATTTTTAGTTAATGTATATGATTTTTCAGCCATTTTGCCTAAATTCATCTTTAAATGACTTTAATTGCTCCTTGCTGCAGTTGGTCTGACACTTCCAGCCATGTTGGCATGTCTTGTCTTCTTTGCGCTTGGCCGCTAATGGCTGCTTGCAGCTATATTATTTCTGTCAAAGGATGGAATTATGATTATTATTAGTAGTATACTCTATCTGTATATATACATATATACATGTGTGCACACACATATATATATATATATATATATATATATATTTTTTTTTTAATTAATTTTCTGATTTGTCTCCCACAGATATCAGATGAGAGCACACAGCCCGGATCTCCTGACCCCCCTAATGTGCCACCACTCTGCACAGCTAAAACTTCTCGCCATACTCTTGCTTCAAAGAGAAGGGCTGAGGCAGATCAGCCCTGTGTCCTGAACGGCATTAATAGCAAGCCAGATGAGGAAGAGCATTTTCTTTTAAGTTTAGCTGGGGCATTGAGACACCTTCCTCCATGCAGTCGATCCAAGGTTAAAATCAAATTTCAACAGATTTTACATGATGCAGAATTTAACCATCAGTAAAACAGTATCATGCATACTGTCACAGTGAGGCTCTGTGACTAGAGACTCTTATTTTGTGGAATTACTTTTATTGTGACACTGGACTGAGAACACACTATGCATATATACATTTTCATACTAACATAACACATTATTTGTTTTGCGCAAATTTTAACACCAGTTAACGCAGATATGTGTGTGTCAATGATTGTGTATTGTTTAAGTGTTGTTCCTGTCCTCACCATGTCCTTTTTCTTTAGTTTAACATTCATTTAGTCATTAATTTTACTATATTGATTTGTATATTGTATTAAGAACTCAAACAAGACTGGTTACCATGTTAAATGTTTATTGTTTTCAATTATCCACTTGCATAAAATAAATTGTCATACTTACCTACTGGAACATTTTCCTATAACTGCCACCATTTTTTAAATATCTATTTCCCGCCAATAGAAGGCACAGTTAATTGTTCTCATGTCTGAGGTTGAGATTGGTGTTCTGTTTGATTCTTCGTTAAACATTGTTAAACCTTAATTAATTGAGTTTGTTTTGTTTCCAATGTTTATATATATATATTTTGTATTATTATAACAGTTTATCTCTTTGTCTTTATTAGCTCCGGCGCATGCTCTGCTGCGACGAAACACAGTCAGTCAATGTTCCATGGCGGCGTCACGTCTCTGTCTACTGTCGGTTTGTTTTGTACCAGTGTGTCTAGCGTTTGTCTTGAGAAGTTCTCACTAGTGTCTGCGTCTTTATCCACCCATCGTTTTACTGATTGTCAAGATTGAGGGACTTACACACACTCATCGCGATCGCGCTCATAACATCATGGATTATACACAACAACAACCTGGCGCTGGCACTACTAACCAGCGATCAGAGACCACTCACCTACAACCGGGCGGATCTCCTTCAGCTCCGATCCTCTGCATTAATCCAGCAAAAACCACCAGTTGCACTCCCACCGGAGATCAAACCAAGGCGAAGAGGCAGACGAGGAGGCGTAAGAACTAGACTCCGAAAGCGTCCCTTCAGGCCCCCCCTCCCTTCCATCATACTAGCGAACGTTCGTTCTCTCAGGAACAAAATGGACCTGCTGCACGCCAAGTGCTCCATGGAGAGAGGCTACAGGGATGCCTGCATCATCGCGCTCACCGAAACCTGGCTGGATGAAGAGGTCTCGGAGTCCGAGGTCAGCCTTGATCATTTCACCATCCTAAGAGCTGACAGGACCCATCAGTCAGGCAAAGTGAGAGGTGGTGGGATCTGCATCTATGTCAACAACAGATGGTGTGATAACATCAAGATCCACAACAAGATCTGCACACCAGATGTGGAGATGATGACGTTGAGCCTGCGTCCCTTCCACCTCCCGAGAGAATTCCAGACGGTGGTTGTCACCTGTGTTTACATCTGCCTGAGCGCCAACGCTAGGGTAACAGCAGAACAAGTAGCCGACAACGCTAACAACATGCTAGCCGCCTACCCGGAGGCTCCAGCGTTTATCCTGGGTGATTTTAACAACTGCAGACTCAACGATGTTCTGCCATCCTTCCACCAGTTCGTGGATGTTCCAACGAGGAAGGAGAACACTCTGGACTTGTGCTATGGCAATGTTGCTGATGCCTTTACCGTACGTGCCTTCCCGCCACTCGGTTTCTCTGACCACAACGTCATCTTCCTCCTTCCGCAGTACAAACCGGAACTGAAACGGATCAAACCAACAACCCACAGCGTCACCCTCTGGTCGGAGGACGCTATTGAGCAATTACAGGGCTCTCTAGCCTGCACGGACTGGGGTATTTTTCAGGGCACACTGGACGAGAGGGTATCCACCATCACTGACTACATCAAGTTCTGTATCCACACCACCATCCCCACCAGAACTGTCAAAAGATACCCCAACTCCAAACCCTGGATTACCCCCCACATAAAACATGCACTTAAAGAAAAACGGACAGCATTCAGGAATAAAGACTGGGCCACTCTCAAAATACTCAACAGACAAATAAAGAATGACATCATCAGAGCCAAAATGCAATATAAAAACAAACTGGAGCAGGAGTTTAGCAACATGAACACAAAACAAGCATTCCAGAGAATCAAGAAACTTACAGGTCAAGAACATAACCACCATCACCAACCAAGCTCGGAACCTCTTCATCTTGCAAACACCCTGAACAGTTTCTTCAACCGGTTTGACATCCATGACCACACCTCCACCTGTGAGGAACTTCTCAGAACCCTTTCCTCCCATGAACCTCACCACCCGCCCTTCACAGAGGAGGATGTGCAGTAGCAGCTGGCCAGGTGCAAAGTTGGTAAGGCACCTGGGCCAGACGGCATCCCGGCAAAGGTGCTGAAGTGCTGCGCAATGGAGCTCTCTCCCATCTTCCACTCCATCTTCTGGGAATCCTACAGGACAGCAACAATACCCACCCTCTGGAAAACATCAACTATTACACCTGTACCCAAGAAACCACGCCCCTCAGAGCCCAACCACTTCCGTCCGGTCGCACTCACCCCAATAATCATGAAATGCATGGAGAAAATCATACTACAACTCATCTTACCTTCTGTCAGCACACAATTGGACCCATACCAATTTGCATACCGGCTGAAAAGGGGGACAGAGGACGCAGTGGCATGCCTTCTCCACTCCCTCCTTCACCATCTCCAGATTTCCTCCCATAACTTTGCCTCAGTTCTGTTTGTTGACTTCAGCTCCGCATTCAATACAATCCAGCGCCATCAACTCATCAAGAAACTACAGCACCTGAATGTCACCCCTCTCCTCATCCACTGGATAAACAACTTTCTCAGCAACAGGCCACAGACAGTGAAAATAGGGACTACAACATCATCAACCATTATCACCAACACTGGAACCCCCCAAGGTTGCGTACTCAGTCCCTTCCTGTACACACTTTACACAAATGACTGCCAGAGTTCACTACCCAACACCACTTACTACAAATATGCAGATGACACAGCCATAGTAGGACTACTTACAGACAACAGTTCCATCACAGCCTACCACCAGTCCATCACAGAATTTGCACTGTGGTGCTCTGATAACTACCTCCAACTCAACATTGACAAGACAAAAGAACTGGTTATTCATGCATCAAAATCACCCCCTGGACTCACTCACATCACTATACATGGCCAACCAGTGGCACAGGTCAGCACTTTCAAATATCTTGGTCTCACCATTGACAATAAGCTTAACTTCAATGAACATGTCACCATTACACAGAAACGTGCACAACAGAGACTGCAATACGCAAACTAAGATCACTGTATGTTGCCCCCCATCTTCTTCTGCTACTCTACAAAAGCATCATCCAACCCCTTCTACTCTACTGCTCCCCCTGTTTCTTCACCATACTCAATGTCATCAGCAAGAACAAACTCATTAAAATCTCACACTTAGCATCCAAGATAATACAGCTTCCCACCCCCAGCCTCACTGATGCAAATGATACAGCCATCATACGCCTTGCACGCACCATAGTAAGCAGCCCTGACCATCCCCTGAACCGGTTCTTCACCCTACTCCCATCTGGCCGCAGATACAGAGCCCTGGACTGGAAAAAAGCGCACTTTAAGAAAAGTTTTATACCCTCAGCAATCACTGCACTTAACAAACTCCCGTGACACTACCCATTGGGTGTGTTATATGTTATATGTTATACGTTATATGTATGAGGCTGTGTACATCCTGCATGGAATGTAACAATGACATGTGTGAAAAAGAATATCCTTATAGGACAATAAAGACTAAAGAAAGAAATTACCTTTAATTACTGAATGGTTTACTCCAAGTGGGAGGGGCTTATCATTTTTATGAGGGCCTTTCAGTGTTGTTCAGGAGCTTGTAGAGTGAGTTGGTTGGTAGTTGTTGCTCTGCTTTGGGTCAATTTATTGACTTCCAAAAGTTTGTTTGTGAATAACTTCGAACAGTTTATTTTAATTTTTGTTTTTTTTGTCTCTTTTGGATTTTTACTGTAAATGCTATTTTGCACTCTATTGGAAAACCTTTGTTTTGCACTTATTGGAATAAAAAACACACTTTTTGACTTCATCTTCACGTCACTTCATTTTTACGCCTCCATCTGCCGGTACATTCAGAGGTGCTGCTACTGTTTGAAATATCTTTGCAGGGACGGATTATGGCGATGACGTGCCCTGGGCACGGGTGTCTCAAAGGCCCCTTTCACCACATTTTGCGACAATTTATTAAGTTATTTTTTACATTTTTGCTAAATCGTACATATTTTACGAGTTGCCCAATTCGTATGAATTAATTCTGGGCACAGTAGCCTACCTACTCTTCCTCTCTCATCTCCCTCTCCTTCTCTCTTTCTTCTCAGTCTATTTATCTTGTATATCTTCTCTTCCCAAAACTGAGCTTTGATTGACATAGTCTTTGCAAACTGATTATTTATGTCGGTCGGTTAAAAATTCTATCTTAAAACAGCTGTTTTGCCTCTTATCTCGCACTGTGCGCCCGTTAAGTTAATTCAAGCACCATTCGCGCTCGGCTAGCGCTTCTGTGAACATAAAGCCCGCCAACTGTGATGTGATTGGTCATCTGGTCACTCAGTGTTTGAGTTCTGAAGCTGCTCAGATGAGAAGGTCGGTTATCGTCGCGAACGCGATGTGCGAATCATTGCCACCCGCACCACATTAGAGTTAATATTAGGCAATTATTTCACAACGTTCATATAGCTTGCCTTACACAGAAAAATTACAGAGGTCTGGACCTCAAGGCCCAAGGGTACCGCCCTTTATATTAGCCTACGCAATGATTTTCACTCGCCTCTTTAGATGTCCCTCTTAACAGCGCAGCAAAACATAAAAATGATTCATTTGATTTATTTACCAGTTAATACTTTGCAACTGCAAAAAAAATTAAAAAATAAATCACAATATTCAACACAATTCTACTGAAAAAATAAATATTTGAAAAAATTTGACAGGGCCCCCTGCTGGCCCAGTGCCCTGGACAA